ATAATGTGACCATAGGGACATGTTCAATCAAGGTGTGTCCTCTAATTAGCATCACAGGTGTCTACAAACTTCTAATCAGTCAGTCGGCCTATTTATAGGTTTACAAGTCGTCACTGTGCTTTTTGGTGACCTGGTGTGTACCACACTAGACATGGACCAGAGGAAGCCAAGGAGAGAGTTGTCTCAGGAGATTAGAAAGAACATGATAGAGCAGCACGTTAAAGGTAAAGACTATAAGAGCATCTCCAAGGAGCTGGATGTTCCTGGGACTATAGCTGCACAGATTATTCAGAAGTTTAAGATCCATGGGACTGTAGCCGACCTCCCTGGACGTGGAGGAGGAACATTGATGACAAATCGAGTAGACGGATAATATGAATGGTAACAAAAGAGCCCAGAACAACCTCCAAAGACATTAAAGGTGAACTCCAAGGTCAAGGTCCATCAGGGTCAGATGGCACCATCTATCATTGTTTGAGCCAAAGTGGACTTCATGGGAGACGACCAAGGAGGACACCATTGTTGAAAACACATCAATTAAAAAAAAGCCAGACTGGAATTTACCAAACTGCATGTTGACAAGCCACAAAGCTTCTGGGATAACGTCCTCTGGACAGACGAGACAAACCTGGAACTTTTTGGCATCAGCTCAATGTTCACAGACGCAAACATGAAGCATATGAAGAACAGAACCCCGTCCCTACTGTGGAACATGGAGGAGGCTCTGTTATGTTCTGGGGCTGCTTTGCTGCATCTGGCACAGGGGGTCTTGAATCTGTGCAGGGTCCAATGAAGCCTCAAGACTATCAAGGTGTTCTAGAGAGAAATGTGCTGCCCAGTGTCAGGAAGCTTGGTCTCAGTTGTAGGTCGTGGGTCTGGCAACAGGATAATGACCCAAAACACACACAGCTAGAAACATCCAAGAATGGCTCAGAGGAAAACACTGGACTGTTCTGAAGTGACCTTCTACGAGCCCTGATCTAAATCCTATTGAACATCTGTGGAAGGAGCTGAAACATGGCGTCTGGAGAAGGCAGCCTTCAAACCTGAGACANCCTAATGAGGATTAAGCGGTGTATAGATGATGGATGGATGTTTCTGGACTGTGTGGGAGGAACCCAGAGAGAACCCTTGCTGCAAACTCCACGCAGAAAGATCCTGAGTGTCCTCACCGGGACACGAACCGGCCACCTTCTAGCTGCAAGGCAACAGTGCTAACCACCGAGCTACCTTGCAGTCCTGTCCCTTTGCCTTACATCAGCTGGCATAGACTCCAGCCCCCCGTGACCCTAATGAGGATTAAGTGGTGTATAGATGATGGATGGATGGATAGTTAAGTCCAACCATTACCTTTAAAAATGTAGGTGGCAGTAAAATCAGAAATCCCAGAGCTGATTAAAGGTCATTTGCTGGTGTTAGATTTGCAGCACTATGAGTGAGCATGAATTAAAGTGTCGGTACCTTGATGCTGACAGAGATCACACTGCTGTCCATCTCCTCTCTGTCGAAGGCCGTCACCACGGACAGAACTCCACTGGCGGTGTCAATGTCAAAGTTCGATAGATATTTCTCTGGAGACACTAAACAAAATCATGACAAATAATTAGTGTTTTCCATTTATTGTGCCAGAGAGGAGCTGAACTCAAAACCTTTCTACAGTACGTTATATTTACCAGCGCTGATGCTGTAGGTTAAAGCCACGTTGATCCCAGTGTCTCCATCCTGAGCCCTGATTGCCTCTGGTTGAATGGTATGGAAAAGCCCCACCTGACATACATCACAGAATACATTGGACTCATTCAAATGCAACACTTCTACATAAAACAAGCTAAAATTAAGGATGCAGTATTCAGCTGATGACACTCACCTGATTTTCCAGAATAAAGGCTTGATACAGATTGTGACTGAAATAGGGATTCAGGTTATCAAAGTCCTCGACGTTAATCACCACAGAGGCCGTGTCCTTCAATCCCCAGTCGTCCTGCAGGAAAACACAACGTGGACAAATGCCACCACTAAATACCAGCTACTTATGTTTTCTTTGGCTTTAAATAATCCTGTATGAATAGATGCTGTGTGCTGACTTACCTGGGCGGTCACAGTGAAGGTGTACTGTTGGGCTACGTTGTAGTTCAGTCGTCTCTTCAAAATAAAAGCCCCGGAGTTGGTCAACTGAAAGACTTCTGTAGCTGGGTCCTATGAAAGAAAGTTAATGTCACCATGTCATACAGAATATTGCTGCTCATCTGAACCATTCATTTGGGGATTGATAGAACTTAAAAAAAATAAATAAATAAAAATAACAACCACATTCACTCTCAGAATCTGCATAAACTGAAACATTCATTTTCCAAATATGATCCGTTATCTTACGATGGAGTAGGTGACTCTGTTGTGTGGTGCAATGTCTCCGTCCACAGCTGTCACTTGGAGAACCTCACTGTCCACACTTAGTATCTGAAAGAAGTAAAGACTGAATGAGGTTCAACCAGAGAAACGAAAACATACACACATGCTTGACAAGACAATATGTGTTATAACATGTTAGATATCTTCTGTAACTACAGCTACAGCTGTCCTCAAATGTGTTCATACTTTTCCATTAAAAAAAAGGCAACATTCACAAAAGTCACTCAAATAACTAGAAACTGAAAAAAGTAATAATAAATGAAAATTTGTTAAATTAGAATTTCGTGAAATAAGACGTTGCTTTTGAATTGTGGTTGAAAAGAATAATTAAAAAAACAAAACTGTCCCGGACAAATGAGAGCACTATGCTGATGAGCAGTGGTCCAGAATACCTGTCAACAGGTGCACAAGTCTGACTGAGAGTTACAGGAAACACCTGATGGCAGTGATTGGCTCAGAGGGTTGTTCAACAACATACACACGTGGACAAAATAGTTTCTACCCCTCGGTTAATGAAAGAAAAACCCACAATGGTCACAGAAATAACTTGAATCTGACAAAAGTAATAATAAATAAAAAATTCTATGAAAATTAACCAATG